CAAGGCTGTCAATCTTCACAGAAGCAAAGCCCAAACCACACCCACTGCCTGGAGTCCATTCTGACCCACAGCTCCCCTAGAGGACAGAGTGGAACTGCCCCACAGGGTCTCCAAGGCTGTCAGTCTTCACAGAAGGCAGAAGAACTGCCATGGAGCGGCTGTTGGGTTTGAATCACTGACTTTCTTGGTTAGCAGCCAACTGCCTTAACCATTCCATCACCAGAGCTCCTCGTTCAAAGAACAGCATATCAATTCAATGTTATCTTCACTTCATTGATATCACCGCTCTTTTTTTTTTTTTAACAAAACTTTCCCCTGAAGGCAGGGCAAGGGTTGGCTTTTCCCAACAAGGACCTCCCTCAGTTGACTTCAGCATTCAAACCCAGCCTTGTTAACGGACCTGTACTCTGCTCCTCAGCCTCCTAGCAGGGAACAGTCTTAGCTGGTTGTCTCATTTCCTCCGCCTCTGAGTGGGGCGTTGGCCATATAGTATTTGTTTGCACTGGTAAAAGAGATGAAAGTGATTTGCAAGAGAATGAAGCAGCCCACACTAACCCTGGAAACCACACTAGGAGAAGCAGTTGAAGTTGATGAACTCAGCCTCCCTCCTTCAAATGCAAGCAGTTTCCTCTGCAGTAAAAGTCAGCCTTTCTCTCCCTGTTCCTTGAGTTGTTGCCGTGGAGACCTGATCCCCAGTAACAAAGATAGTCCCTGTCATCCTGGACTTCAATAGCTCTCAGCATCACCAACACCTTCCAACATGATCAATACCTCCCCAAAATGTCATCAACAACTCCTAGTGTCATTAACAGCATCCAACGTCATTCTGCGAAGCTTAGAAACAGGTTGTATTGGTCTCTCCTCATCCACAATGAAGAAGAGTGAAGAAAATTGAAGGCTGAAGGAAACAATTGGTCCAAAGGACTAATGGATCATGAGACCCACAGCATCCATGACCCTGGGGCCAGAAGAACTAGATGGTGCCCGGCTACCAGGCCCCCCCATTCTGATGGGGGTCACAATAGGTGGTCCTGGGTACACAGAGAGAAAAAAATAGAGAGAACAAAATACAAAAACATAAAGAAAGATGAGACTTATAGGGCTGATAGAGACTGGTGGAATCCTTCAAGACTGTGGCCCTTAGACACGCTTCACGCCTAGGACTGAACCTTCCCAAGGGATCACCTTTCAGCCCCACATTGGACTGGCTTATAAGGAGATGATAACACCAGTGAATGCAATCAGCCATATAAGACGCAAAGGGCAGCATTTACCCAAAAAACAAAACTCAGAAGGCAAGAAGGGGCGGGGAGAAGGGTGACTAGAAACAAGGTACCCAGAGAGGAAGTGGAAAGAATGCTGTTACGCTGTAGGGATTGCAACCAATGTCGGGAAACAAATGTGTGTGGATTTTTGAAGGGGAAACTATATTGCTCTGCCAACTTTCACCCAAACCACAACTTAAAAAACAAAGTAACTCCCATGTCAACCGTCCAAAAGCTTAGGCTCCAATTACACTTACACAAAAATGGAAAGTCTAGTTAAAAGGACGTGTGGAAAGTCAAAGAAAAGTATTCCATATATTTTTAAAAAGCTCTCTCCTTTGACCTCAAAGAGTATTGCTTTGCTTTGTCTATTAATATATAAATGAGCTCTGGTGCAGCAATGGTTAAGGCATCTGGCTACTAACCACAAGAGTAGTGGTTTGAGCCCAACAGCTGATCCATGGAAAAAAGATGAGACAGTCTGTTTATTTATGTGAAGATTGACAGCCTTGAAGAACCTGTGGGGCA